GTTTACTTTTTCTTTACAAGGTGGGACATCTAACTGAGCATGTGCAGTGTGAGTGTCATCACTCTGTGTTTCTGTTTGGAGAAAAATGACCTGTTGCAACCGTCCCTTGTTGCTACTGTCCCCGGTCTCGTCTAATTCAGCTACATATGGCTACAAACTTTGTGCAGTGAATGAGTCAAAGCAACACTTTGGGTATTTGATGAGGGAATGACATTATAGCTCGATGTAAATATCAAAAAAGTCAAAAACTGTTCATCTCAGCCGTGCAATTTTTGGAGTTGTGTTATTAATGTCATCTTTTCAAAAATGCATTCATAATTATTACTAAAAAATGTGTCATAGGCACTTAAAGTATTAAGAAGATTTCGTCCACTGGCTGAAATGCCTGTCCCTTTGATGAAAATGTTGAATCAGTTTCTGACATCGTTGTCTTGTTCTCCATCCTGCAGCAGCACATCAGAACATATTGATCCTCACAGAATGAGTTTATATTTGGCTCCAGGATGACCTGATTCTGTTCATCAAACAGTGAGCGGGAAGCAAACCCAGCAAAGCTTTGAGCTGTTGTTTTATTTTTTATTTTCTTTACCTGAAATCAAACATTGAATGATCTCATCTTTAAACACATCCAGATGAAACAAAAAACTCAACAACTTCCTCTTAAGTTTATCTGCAGGTCAAAAAAGTTTTTCTCTTAAATCCAATTAGGCAGTTGCTGAACTCTCACTTCCTGGTAGCTCAGAGGAGCGTCAGTCTGACCGGCTCATCAGCTGCACAACGTCCTGTTTTTATTTCTTACAGCTGCATCCCAAAGATCCACCCTGTGATTTTAAATGATCTTCAGAGCTCTGATACAGTCATTCAATATAAACGTGAGTTGCTATATTAAGCAGTCTCACTGGCAGGTCAAAGGTCAGATTAATGTTAATCGTTATATTAAGCATAGACATCATTTATGTAGAGCCCTGTTTACGTGCTGGAGTGCATCCTGCATCACCGCCATATTGGATGGGTCCCTCCTCGCTTTAGGCAACACCAGAGCCAGCAGAGTCGATACAGTGAGCAATTGTCCATATTTTGTTGAATAACCAGTGCAGTATTGAAAACAAACCAAATGAGATTACTTTTTCCAAGTAAGACGAATAATAGTTTATAACATTTTGTCATTGTAGCTAATGTTATTTGGCAATCAACAAAATGATAACAGTAGGTCTCTCTGATTTCAGTCTGATTTCCACAGGTGAAAAGGAAATTGTTCAGGGTTTTGTCTACATTAAATACGTAAAAAAAAAAATCATGAATCGTCTTCACTTTAGAAGGGTTCAATAAAAGAAACTACTAGCAACTTCCTTAATTATTGATGTGTTGCAGAATTACTGCAGACTTCAGTTATTCCTGGTTACGCAGCGTAAATATCACTATCATGCTCAAACAGATGCCGCTCAATCAACTGTCTCCCCTCCCTAAACAGAAACACAAAGATAAAAAGTGGGAAATCAATATTGGACGTTAATATCGGCCCAGTTTTACATATTAGACCGATACAGATATTCAAAAAAATGACCAATATCGGCCGATACCTATATGAATTATTATGTCTGTATTAGCATGAAAACGTGTCCTGTTTTATAACTACATGTCTGCAGTGTGTAACAAACAAAACAGTGTGGAAATCAGGTAAAAAAGTTTGTGGAGTTATAATTATTTTAGCTGGATACACAGTTTCCTCAGTACAAATAAAGGCACCGCGAGCACAAGAGGAACACATCCAAGATGGCAGCCATGCTGAAACATGAGCTGCAATAGGCAGAGCCGGTCCTTAGTGTGTCTACGGATATGACCTCTGTGTATATTAAGAAGTCACACAAGCTGCGTTTCCATTGACCACGAAAATGCGCAAATTAGAATTTCGAAAATAAATTTGCTCAATGGAAACACGTCAGTTTAGAAAAAAATTGTTTTTCAACAAAATATTTTTGCGCTAGGATGAGGTGACTTTTCGGCCGTACTGAAATTTGTGTTTTTCGCAAAACTGCAATGTAAACACTTTTTTCACATCACAGGAGTCACGTGATCAACAACCGGCTGTTTCTACTGGTGAAAAAGACGATGAAGAAGAAGATAACAGGAAGTAGAAGTAGTAGTAATATCACAGAAGTAGTATAAAATAGTAAACTCACCGACTACAATTTCCCAAAAACACAGCATACGTAGCCGCTCCCAAGTAGGGACTTGTCTCTGGAAAGCCTCGATAAAAGACGCCGACGTCTCCTCTGATGATGAGCGCTAGTGTTGTGGTAGCAACATGCTATGTGTTTACATCCATCGCCGCCATGTTTGTAATGACTTATAGCGAGAACAAACGTATTCATGTGACTTTAATAATATTTCTTACTTAATGGAAACACTGCAGTTGTGAAACTGTGTTTTATCGACATTAACAGAATATCGACAAAGTTTTGCGCAGATTTGCAATGGAAACGCAGCTACTGACAGTTCAAAGGTCAGATTAACACAGGAGTTGTTATATTAAGCAGCAACACTGACAGGTCAAAGGTCAGATGAAGCAACTCTTACCTGCAGTGATTTCACTTTCCCATGAAGGCTGTCCTGAGACGCCCCGAGACCCTCAGCGACCTCTGATGATTCGGAGACAAAAACCGAATCATGTGACAAGGCCTTCCCACCCAGACTGACCTTTGACCTTTGGGAACCACAGATAAAAAAAATTAAGTTACACAGCATCAAAATGAACCAAATATAAAACTTTCTTTTGGAAAATGATTTGCTGTAAAAACGAGATGTTCTGTTTGGTAATATTTTTTATGATGACTCCAGCAACTCCAACTGAACGTCTGTGACCTAAAGAGCAGACGAAGCAGGAAGTGGCACAGCTAAAGAAAACAAAACATTTCTAGACTCCCCCTCAGGAAAACCCACTCCTCTGAGCGCTACAAAAACAGGAAGTAAGGAGCAGAGGTGAACTCAGGATGTTAAAACTCGACCTTCTTCTCCTGAAGGAATTCAAGATATTTATCTGACCAGGACCAGCAGGAAGGAACCAGTCATTCAGCTGGTATGCGTAAGAATCATCACATCTAAAGAAACCACAATCAAACAAATTATTTATTATTTTATCTTTTTTTACTATCTGATGATGATTTATTTGAGATGCTGATGATGGACAAGTTTTAAAATCTTAGACATGATTGGATCTCTGGGTCTGGTTTTGACAGAAAAAAATTATTATTATTTGTGGAAAGTTTGCAAGCAGGATTTATTTTGTTATCTCCACTTTGGAAAGTGTTTTTGAAAATATCCATTTTATCCTTTTTTGTGAAATGTTGAAAACATTTCATTCTTCTTTTGAGGCCGATCATCAGCGACAACCTTCTGAAATCATGTCAACTTCAAAAGGTGATCGTTTGGAGACATCTTTAATGATTATTGTGGGAAAGTTTCATTCAAAGCCGTTCTTCTGTAGTTACTGTTGTGTAATTAGCAACACCTACAGTTCAGGAGGAGAACTACAGCAGCACTGTTTAGAACAGCAACACACACTGAAAGTGTGCTTCACTCCTGCTGATCCCATGGAGAAACCAATATTCCAGAGAGGAAAACAAAGTTTTCATATTTATTATTTGAACTGTTGAAAAATTGAATCCTTTTGGAATTAATTCTGTAATTTTGCTTTGATTTCTTTGTTTGTATTGTTTAGTAATTGTGAGTCAAGTTTCATAAAAGTGTATTAAAACTTTAAAAACGAGACCTTTTTGTGAGCATCCTTTTCTTAATTCATTTAATTTATAAACAAAACAAATTAGCCTGGGGGAGGGGCTCGTCGGCGAACACCTGGTGGCCGGGTCTCTACCCATGGGACCTGGTCAGGCTCAGCCTGAATGAGTTACATGGGTTTCCCTTCCTGTGGGCCCACCACCTGCAGGAGGGGCCATAGGAGCCAGGTGCATGATGCCATGGGCAGCAGCTAAAAGCGAGAACCTTGGCGCTCTGACCCTGGCCTACCAAAGCTGTCTCTTGGGACATGGAACGTCACCTCTCTGGTGGGGAAGGAGCCCCAGCTTGTGTGTGAGGTTGAGAGGTACCGGCTAGATATAGTTGGGCTCATTTCAATGCACAGCATGGGCTCTGGAACGGATCTCCTCGAGAGGGGCTGGACTTTGTTCTACTCTGGAGTTCCCCATGGTGAGAGGCGCCAAGCTGGTGTGGGTCTACTTTTGGCTCCCCAACTTGGTGCCTGTGTGTTGAAGTTTACCCTGGTAGAAAAGAGGGTAGCTTCCCTGCGCCTTCAGATGGAGGGATGGGCTCTGACGGTCATTTGTGCTTATGCATCAAATGATTGTTCAGAGTACCGAGCCTTCTTGGAGTCCTTAGCAGAGGTGCTGGAAGGTGCTCCAGCTGGGGATTCCTTTATTCTGCTGGGGGACTTCAATGCCCACGTGGGTAATGACAGAGTGACCTGGAGGGGCGTGATTGGGAGGAACGGCCTCTCTGATCTGAACCAGAGCGGTGTTCTGTTGTTAGACTTCTGTGCTAGTTACAATTTGTCCATCACAAACACCATGTATGAACATAAGGTGTCCATAAGTGCATGTGGCACCAGGACACCCTAGGCTGCAGATCAATGATTGACTTTGTAGTCGTGTCATCTGATCTGCGGCCTCATGTTTTGGACACTCGGGTGAAGAGTGGAGCTGAGCTGTCAACTGATCACTACCTGGTAGTGAGTTAGATCAGATGGCGAGAGAAGAACCCCGGACAGACCCGGTAGACCCAAGCGTGTAGTGAGGGTTTGCTGGGAACGCCTGGCAGAGGAACCCGTCAGACACATCTTCAACTCACACCTCCGGGAGATTTTCAAACACATCCCAGCCGAGGCGGGGGACATCGAGTCCGAGTGGGCCATGTTCCGTGCCTCAATTGTTGAAGCGGCTGCCTTGAGCTGTGGCTGCAAGGTTGTTGGTGCTTCTTGCGGTGGCCATCCTCAAACACAGTGGTGGACACCCCAGGTAAGGGAGACTGTCAAGCTGAAGAAGGAGTCCTATCTGGCCTTAATGGCTGGTAGAACTCCGGAGGCAGCTGAGGAGTATCGGCAGGCCAAGCGGGCCGCAGCCCTAGCCATTGCTGAGGCAAAAGCTTGGATGTGGGAGGAGTTTAGTGAGGACTTGGACAAAGACTCTCGATCGGCTCCGAGCGATTCTGGCAAACCATCTGGTGGCTGAGGCGGGGAAGCGGCACTTCACTAACACTGTGCTCAGTAAAGGTGGGGTGCTGTGGACCTCAACCAGTGATGTCTTCAGGGGGTGGAAGGAATACTTCTCGGACCTTCTCAACCCCACCGGCACGTCTTCTATGGAGGGAGCAGAGTCTGAGGACTTTGAGGCTGGTCTGTCCATAACTGGAGCCGAGGTTGCTAAGGTAATTAAAAAGCTCCACTGCGGCAGGGCTCCAGGGGGTGGATGAGATCCGCCCTGATTTCCTCAAGGCTCTGGATGTTGTGGGGCTGTCCTGGTTGACATGCCTTTGCAACATCCTGTGGACATAGGGTGCAGTGCCACTGGATTGACAGACTGGGGTGGTGGTTCCCCTCTTCAAAAAGGGGGACCAGAGGGTGTGTTCCAGTTACAGGGACATCACTCTCCTTAGCCTCCCCGGTAAGGTCTTTTCAGGGGTACTGGAGAAGAAAGTCCGATCGATAGTCGAAACTCAGATTCTGGAAGAACAATGCGAGTTCCGTCCTGGCCGTGGAATACTGGTCCAACTCTTTACCCTCACAAGGGCCCTCGAGGGGTCATGGGAGTTTTCTAATCCAGTCTACATGTGTTTTGTGGACTTGGAGAAGGCATTCGACTGTGTTCCTCAAGGTACGCTGTGGGGGGTGTTATGTGAGTATGGGATTGTGGGTCCGTTGTTATGGGCCAGTCAGTCTCTATACAAGCCATGCAAGAGTTTGGTTCGCATTGCCGGTAGTAAGTCAGACCCCTTCAAAGTGGGAGTTGGACTCCGCCAGGGTTGCCTGTTGTCACCAATTCTGTTCATAACTTACATGGACAGAATTTCTCGGAGCAGCCAGGGGGCAGAGGGAGTCCGGTTTGGTGGCCTCAGGATTTCATCTTTGCTGTTTGCAGATGATGTGGTTCTGTTGGAGTCATCATGCCAGGATCTTCAGCTCTCACTGGAGGGGCTCACAGCTGAGTGTGAAGTGGCTGGGATGAGGATCAGTACCTCCAAATCTGAGTCCATGGTCCTCAGTCAGAAAAGGGTGGATTGCTCTCTCTGGGTTGGGGGTGAAGTTCTGCCTCAAGTGGAGGAGTTCAAGTATCTTGGGGTTTTGTTCATGAGTGAGGGAAGAATGGAGCGTGAGATTGATAGATGGATCGGTGCAGCTTCTGCAGTTTTGCAGACTCGGTACCGGTCTGTTGTGGTGAAGAGGGAGCTGAACTGTAAGCCAAAGCTCTCTGTTTACCGATCAGTCTATGTTCCTACCCGAAAGAACAAGATAACGGATAAGAGTGGTCAAAATGAGTTTTCTCGGCAGGGTGTCTGGGCTCTCCCTTAGAGATAGGGTAAGAAGTTCAGTTATCTGGGAGAGACTAAGCAGTGCCGCTGCTCCTCCACATCGAGAGGAGCCAGTTGAGATGGGAAGCTGGGTGCTTCAGGAATGTCCAACTGGGAGGAGACTCCGAGGAAGACCCAAGACACGCTAGAGAGACTATGTCTCTCGGCTGGTCTGGGAACACCTTGGAGTCCTGCCAGAAGACCTGGCTGGGGAAAGAGAGGTCTGAGCTTCCCTGCTCAAGCTGCTGTCCCAGTGACTCGACTTCAGATAAAATGGAAGATAACGGATAGATAGACGGACAGACGGATGGACGGATAAATGTAACACAAACATACCAGGCTGCTCTTTGTGAGGAAGCTATTGTCATGAACCAACAATAGATCACTGAATCAGTGCAGTTTTTCTGCTCTTTCCTAACATAAAAAAAATATGGAACACATTAAATCTTACCCAGATTTCTTCTCCTCCTCTGAGTGAGCCAGCATGTTGTTCTCTGGTGTTTTGCTGACATCGTCGCTGGACTGGCTGGCTTTGAGGCTCGCCTCTGTTTCTGCCGTCTGCGGCTCCTTTCTCTTCTTTCGAGTAAATAACTTCTTAAATGTCTGGAACCTGGACTTCTTTTTTCCTGAGAAGACAGAAGAAAAACCTGATGTTACAGTGGTGCAGACAGCGTCCTAATGTGAACTGTGAAGAGTAATTAGGTCTACAGGTTCAGGAGAAACCCTCTCAGGCTTGTAAACCCACCCCCTCACTAAAACACTTCACATCTATTAGCACCATGGTGGAAAAATGCTTATTTACAGCCTCTCACACAGCTACAAACAAATACAGACTGGTTTCATTACAACAGAAAGGGCCCCTGGTTCTTTACCAGACCTACATCCAAGCCTGATAGAAACCAGCCCCTTGTTCTTCACTTTCCTACTTCCAGAGGGTCTGGAACCTTGGCTATTGATAATTTCTTGCTGGAGGCGTGGTCTCTGTTGAAGTTTGAACAGACTGGATCTGATTTACCCAATCACTACTGTTTGACCATGACATACGTAGTTTGACAGCGCAATTGTGAAGAAAGCTAAGCTAAGAAGCTAACTAGTGGGCGCTGTAAACAACTATCCGCTACTGGGAAGAGAGAAGTACTGAGCTGAACAAGATGGCTGTAAATGAGTACTGCAGGCTTTAAATTTAAAATTTAATTTAATTTGGAAGTCAAAAAGAAAAACTAAATAGGTCCTCTGGATGGTTCTTCTTTAGTGAAACGTTTCATCTATCTTCCAAGAGACTTCTTCTGTCTGAAGAGTTTCAGTTGAAACTCAAGTCTTATAAGCACTGCCTCCACCTGGACAAACAGGTTAGTCACATGCAAAAGAGGACCATCGACTAACAATAGGCTTGATTGGCTCTGTTGTTCATAGAGGGTCATGTGCCCCATCACCTGACCTGTGTTGTGTTATGTGAATGTAGTGAATGCAAGCGGGGGTTTAACATCCCCTTGTTTTTGTCCCTCCCTCCCTCTTTCTTTTTGTGTTGGTATCATTGGGGCCCTGATTCACACCTTTGGTTCACAGGGGGCCTTCGTGTCCATTTGTCTTCTGCCTACAACGCTGTCATTGAAAGTATGACTCTGCCCCCTGTGAATCAAAAGTGTGAATCAGGGCCCCAATGATACCAACACAAAGAGGGAGGGACAAAAACAAGGGGATGTTAAACCCCCGCTTGCATTCACTACATTCACATAACACGACACGGGTCAGGTGATGGGGCACATGACCCTCTATGAACAATAGAGATAATCAAGCCTATTGTTAGTCGATGGCCCTCTTTTGCATGTGACTAACCTGTTTGTCCATGTGGAGGCGGAGCTTATAAGGCTGAGTTTCAACTGAAACTCTTCAGACTGAAGAAGTCTCTTGGAGGAGAGACGAAACGTTTCACTAAAGAAGAACCATCCAGAGGACCTACTTATTTTTTCTTTTTGATTTTTTTCAACCTGGATTACTGAGATGCATCAGGACATTAATTTGGAAGTCTTGTCAACACAGACTGAATGGCTTCTTCCACTTCCTCTGCTGCCATTGCTAAACTACAGGCAGACTAAAACAGTGCAGAAAATCCATATAATCAATCACAACTTGTCCTTCTGTTCGCTGATTGGCTCAGTTCAAACTCTACCAGAGAAATCCCAATCAATCAAGTAGAAATGTTTTAAATGTTTCAGGAGTTGCAAACCATTTAGAAAAAGTAGGGGTCTGACCACTTATAGATGGTCTGGGGGGTTCTCCTGCACAAAAAAATAGAAATTTAAAACATCAGTAATGCATTTTCCTGGCTTTTGGAACCAGGCTGGGCGTTTGAAGAACTCAGAATCTGCAGCAGAAACTCAAGTATGTAGTTTAATCTACTGGAGTATGAATAAAGACGAGCAAAAAACAGAGAAATAAAACGTTTAAAATATTATTATAAACTATTAAAGGAGACATCATTTTTACAGAAGCTGTGGGAACTCCTTCAGCATTTTTATTTCCTGAATGTTAAACATGGAAACCTGGCAATCGACTGCTTCAAACAGGATTTGAAGTCCTTTACATATATAGTTCCCTTTTTTTCTCCAATTTCTTGTCTATCTTTGCAAAAAATAAAGAAAATAAATAGAACTTTTGTTGTCCAATGTGAGGAAATAATTCGATTCTTGAATTACACGAAAGACAATGTAACTTTGTGATCTTGGTCCTGCGGACCACCAGGCTGAGCTCAGAGTTTCACAAGCGTTCAGAGCCAAGACTAAATATGAGGGGAAACACCGGCCAGCTGGACCTTTTCGTGAGCTATTTTAGTCGATTGTTAATCTAAAGGTTGAACTTAAAGACAATTGAACCGAGTGAAGGTCACTGCAGCTCTGCTGTCACGGCTGACATTAAAGTTCTCTCAAATTTTACATGTTTTACATGAGCAGACCCTGAACAGGAGTGTGGGGGTTTCAGTGGGTCTGATCTCAGCTAAAACACTGAGAAGGTTCTGACCTTTAGGAGGGAAACTGGACCTGAGCGGTTCCATCAGGTTCAGCTCATCCGTGGAGATGAAGGTTTCTCTTCAGACTCCAGCCAATCCAACAGATCGTGGTTTATTTTTACAGATGTCACAGACAGAACACTGACCCAACACCTGCACACCACTAAGAACGGAACCAGAACTGTCCTTTAACTGTTGCTCACAACAACACATCATCATCATCATCCATCTTTAGCTGCTTCTTTGTTTCAGAATCACTAGCTGCGTTTCCATTGCAAATCTGCGCAAAACTTTGTCGATATTCTGTTAATGTCGAAAAACAGTTTCACAACTGCAGTGTTTCCATTAAGTAAAAAATGTTATTAAAGTCACGCCTGAATATGTTTGTTCTCATGATAAGTCATTACAAACATGGCAGCGATGGATGTAAACACATAGCATGTTGCTACCACGACACTAGCGCTCATCTTCAGAGGAGACGTCGGCGTCTTTTATCGAGGCTTTCCAGAGACAAGTCCCTACTTGGGAGCGGCTACGTATGCTGTGTTTTTGGGAAATTGTAGTCGGTGAGTTTACTATTTTATACTACTTCTGTGATATTACTACTACTTCTACTTCCTGTTATCTTCTTCATCATCGTCTTTTTCACCAGTAGAAACAACTGGTTGTTGATCACGTGACTCCTGTGATGTGAAAAAAGTGTTTCCATTACAGTTTTGCGAAGAACACCAATTTCGATACAGCTGAAAAACCACCTCATCCTAGTGCAAAAACATTATGTCGAAAAACTTTTTTTTTTCAAAATTGACGTGTTTCCATTGAGCAAATTTATTTTCGAAATTCTAATTTGCACATTTTCATGGTCACTGGAAACACAGCTACTGGTGCCGTCATCCAGCACCTGTCCTCTTTCATCCAACAGTTCAAACGGCTGAACGGACCGGTCTGTACAGGGATCAATTATTCTCAAAGATTACAGCACACACAACAACATTTGAGCAAGCACAACAAGATTTGGACGAGTGCTGTGAACGTGATTTTTGAGTCGTTCATTTGTGTAATGCTCCGTTCAATGCTGGTGAAAAGCTGGGACATCTGAGCTCTACCACAATGACTGGGTTACTGGGAAAATTCTAGGGCTGGGCGATTAATCGGACTTTGATCTTGATTATGATTTGGGTATTCAGTGATCATCAAAACATAATGATCGAGGTTCACAGTTTACGTAGGGACGTATTATTTCTGTGATGCAAAAAACGTAGATGGAATCCAGTGTAAAACACAGAATATCACAGAACTTGCTTATTTGAGCGAGTTTCTGAGGTATTTTGACTGCTGCTGCTCCCTGTAGCCCTGTAAGACCTCATTTTGTAATAACAAAGCATTATGTAATAATGTAATAAAATCAGGCTTCAAAATGTAATAAACTCGCCCTAAACCCACATTATGTAATAAAAGTCTTCAACGCGTTAAGTAAAAATGTTATTACATTTTGCGGCAATTATTACAAAATGTGGTGTTGTAATAATCTGCTGCATTATGTAATAAACAATCAAAAACCAGTATTTCTGTTCATCCTAATCAATAAACTTGTAATAACTGTCATGCTGCAGATACTACATAATTAAATCTTTATAACTTTGGTTAATAAACACTGAACTTCTCATTATTTATTTGCATTTTCAGTCAAATTCTTGTGTAAATGGATGTATAGAGCAATCTCACTGATTGTTTTCATGTTTTATGGAATCTTTCAAAAACTTAGTTTCTAATTTATTCAACATGTCAGAGCCTGTAGGACGTTAAAAACACTTAATAACATCAAATATTCACTTCAAACCCAACTTCTTCAACCCTCATTTCCTTCTGATGCAGAAGCCGACAGTCCACCTGCACCGCGCCCCCCTCCCCTCCCCGCGGCTGATGGTCCACCTGCACCCCTCAACTCCCCCTGTGTGTGATTAATACAGACTGTTTTACAAAAACTACAGATTTTCAAGGTTCATTGTACAGGTAAACATCTGAAGGGGTTGACATGTATATTTAAGTGGAATAATTTCTGTAACAGGGATCAGGACAGTAAATCTGAAAATGCAAATAAAAGATGAGAAGATCTGTATTTATTGACCAAAGTTATAAAGATTTAATTATGTAGTATTTTCAAATTATTACACCACCACATTCTGTAATCATTGCCGCAAAATGTAATAACATTATTACATAATGCGTTGAAGACTTTTATTACATTTTGCATCAATTATTACATAATGCAGTTTTAGTGCGAGTTTATTACATTTTGAAGCCTGATTTTATTACATTATTACATAATGCATTGTTATTACAAAATTAGGTTTTACAAGCCCCTTCATAGTTACCTGGTAACAGGCACAGGTGAGCTCTGAGCTCCCCTCCCGACACGGGGGGAGAAAAAAATGACTAAAAGAAAAAGCCATGTCCGCGACTCGCGCGGCGAACAACAAACTCACTAAAAGCAACATCCTCCAAAAATATGAAGCTATTGTAAAGTTTAGGACAGAACAAAACCCCAGCGGTTATTTATTTATCTGTAGAAGAACTTTTCTGCCAGTTTTCAGCACATGACAGGCTGGATGCTGTGAAGACCACTTCCTGTCTGAGTCACAGACAGAGGAGCAGGTCAGAGACTCGCTGAAAACTCCTAGTCTGGGTGGGAGGTTGTCCAAGAGTTTGTTGTTG